TGTCAAGAGTTAGATTATTTAATATTGAGATGTGTGTTATGAAATAACTGATTATATTTGGGACGTGAAAGTTTATAGAATCTATAAAAGGTATCATATCATGATCAGCACTTGTAATGTTCTTTGTGCTCGGAAAATTTCAGAACATTACACATGATCTATGGAAAGTTATTGGAGGGGTACGTTACTTCTGACGAGCACGGTAAATATATATTTTTTGTCCTCGAAAAATAAATTTTTTACACCTTGGCTTATATTTATATGCTTGTGATTCTCGCAAGCTAAGTTCATCTAGTATTTTAACTTTTAAAATCATCGAGATTGCTGTGCGAGTTCACGTGTTCGTGAATTCAGGCTATCCCCCAATTGACAATCGAGCCAATTCTTTTAAGTCAACCAGTATGTCAATCACAACCCTAGTATTCCTCATTTATTACACATTCATTTCTACTACGCACGCGTTACGGCTCGACTATGATATAAAGAATAATGATTTTTATTTCTTTCTATCAATATGCATTAGCGGTCTTCAAATACCACCGAAAAAAGGATCATCATTCAATATTTTTGGTAAGCATGAATTTTATATAATTTATGGTTGTGAAATGTGCGGTAGTATAATACAAAAAAAGAATACGAAAAAGTATAAATATTCCAGAAAAAAGAATATTAAAAAAGGGAGGTATATACAATCAAGCATGAGAAGAGTAGGAATGAAGTGAATATATTTGAGAAAAATCAATATGTGAATATTACATATATGCTTTTAATGATTTATACTATTAAAATATAATAATAGTAATAATAGTAATTAATTTTGCAGAGAAAAATTACCGAACCATTTTTTCTCGATCCGGTCTGGTAAATGACGATGTTTCGTGTCGTTATATTAAAAAACGCGAATTCTCCAAATGTTTTTCCCGTTTGGAATGTGATGAACGGTACGACACGGTAGATAGATGGAATCGTAAAGTCAACGAAATTAATTTCGTTTAATCATCGTCACAACATCGTTAACAGCAAAAACGACCACCACAAAAGAACTGACGCTCATAGTAATAGTAGTAAGGATAACCGCGATATTTCATAGAACTTTATTATTATTATTATCATCATGATCATCATCATCATCATCATCATCATCATCATCACCACCACCACCACCACCATCATCATCATTATTCTTATCCTTATGATTCTTATTCTTGAGTTTCACAATCTGCTATTTTTGTATCATTATCAATATTGTTATTATTCTCAAACATGAACTCTGATTCTCCATCTTCTAACAATCCGTCCATTGTTTCGTCTGTTTGATTGTTGTTATTGTTGTTACTAGATTTTCCCTTGCAAGTCTCAAGTTCTTTCATGAGCTTTGCAATAATATTGTCCTTATCCTTATTCTGCTCTTGGAGCTCAACGATATGATCATGAGCTGAACGTTAAAATAATATAATATAATTAAAAACATTAGTAATGTTCGCAATGAGTAGGTTACATAAACGTAAATTACAGACAAATCACTATTTACCTCTCTTCAGCAGAAACAGCTTACTAACATTCTTCATCGTGCCATCTCCATTTTTGCCGCCGCCACCACTGCTACTATTATCACCATCATCATTATTACTATTGGCAATGATGATATTCTTACCCAGCATTGATTTATACGGCACAACCCGCTTCAACTCGTCGAAACATTGCTTGAGCGAATCTCTACGCTTTTGTTCGGCTGCTTTGTGTGTGGTGCGACGCGATTCTAGGCTAGATTGTAGATCTGAAGAGTACGAGATACCGAGCGACCTAGATCAAAATTAGATTTGATTTAGATGAGCAATCTGGTATGTGTTTTTCCAACATTTTGTTGTCACTCTAGATTTTTGATTAGATGGTAATGGTGATAATCATTCCCATGTATAATAATCTTAACCTTTTCGAGGATCAGGCGCGCTAATTAAAAATAAAATGAACTTACTGTGCAGTTCCCTCAAGGATATTTTGATAATTTGATTTTTGTGCTAATTGTTCGGCAACTTCATCAGCAAGTGCTCCAGATAATTTCGGTTTAAGATTAGGACTTATCGTGGGTTTCAAGGCTTGTGGGCTTCTGGTTTGAGCTGCGGTAGGTCCAAGTGCCACGGGAGACAACGAATTGGTATTTTGTCGATTAGATTTTCTTCCGCTTCCGGGACTACTATTGTTATTTGACGAAACAGCAGCAGCAGACCCTCCACTACTACTACCACTTCCGATTGTTGGCGTCATTACAGGTGACAAAGTAATGGATCCCATCCCATTAGGAGAAATAAATAATAATGGCTGTGTGCTAACAGCAGGGGTCATGACAAGCGTTGCTTTCTGTTGTTGATTATTGGATGAAGGTGATTGAGGGGGTAATGACGGAGAAATGAATATTTGCTTATTTAATGATTTATCTGTAAACTTTTGATCTTTTCTATTTTTACTATTCTGAGAGTTCGAGGTCTTTGGTTTCGGTATCTTCATTAACGTAGCGGGAGTTATCGGAGCAATCGTATTTTGTGGTGATTGTTGTTGTTGAGGTTGGAGTTGTTGCGGCTGCTGCTCCGGCTGCTGATGATTCTGGAGATTATTATTGTTATTATTGTTATTGTTATTGTTATTATTGATAATGATGCGATTATCATCATTATTATTGTTAGCGTTATTATTATTAGTATTGTTATTGTTACTGTTATTATTATTGTTATTATTTATATTATTATTAATAAATTGATTATCGTGGTGGTAGTGATGATGAGGTGTGATATCGCAGGAGATAGTATTTTGGGATGATGATGCATTTGACGTAAATTGAGTAGCAACACCACCTCCAGACATGGTAGAAACAAAATTATCGCCCAGAGTTAGATTTGGCATAGAGTCTTGTGTGGTAATCATTAAATTTGTATTATTATTATTACTACTGCTAAGATTATGAGGATCATTGTTGATATGATTGTTGTTTCCATTCATCATCGGCGATATTGAAGATTTTGATTGCATTGGCAAAGAAATCATCGCATTACTAGTAGCAGTTTGAAGATGATTTTGTCGCTGTTGCGCAGCAGAAACAGCAGCCATCATGTTTGAAACGGTAGCCGGATTATATGGACTCAATTCCTGCTGCTGCTGCTGCTGCTGCTGTTGCTGTTGTAAATGTTGCTGTTGATGTGATAATGATAAAGAAGCTTGTTTCTTTCGTCGTAAAGAGGACGGCCCGGACGCGGAAGACATAATAGAATTTGTGCTCATTGATTTCGGTTTCATTGGTGTATATCGATGCTGATAATGACCATTACTACTATTATTGTTATTACGAAACAACATCGATTTTGATATATTGTTGTTTTGTCGGGAAAATGAGTTTGTTGTCGTGCTGCTAATATTCACGTCTGGAGATAAGGTGGGCGATGATTGTGGTGATAGGAGAGTATTCGTTAAGTATGAATGTGTATATGTAGGTGCCGACGTTCCAGACAACACGGCTGGTTCTAGCTGAAAGAGACACTACGTTCAAATAAAAATGATGTCGTTAGTCGTTTGTCATATTTTCTTTTCTTCGATACTTTACTTGAACCTATGTAAGAACAAAAAAATAAAAACATACGTCCTCCTCATGAAAAATATCCTCTGCATAAACATGCCCCGAAGTAGACATCATGTCATAAGGAGACAGTATAAGGCCAGCACCGCCACTATTATCTGAGCCTTCAGGTGTAGGAAGCATATGAAAAGGGATTGACACTTCCATTGTCTCAATGTATTCTTGCTGTTGTTGTTGTGAAGAGCAGTCGAGATCTGCCGACGAACTTCCGTGTCCTCCATGAACGTGCTGTTGCTGTTGTTGGTGTTGGTGGTGGTGGTGTTGCTGTTGCTGTTGCTGTTGTTGCTGTTGTTGGGTCGATTGGGTGTTTAGCGCATCCCACTGTTCGAACATTTGTTCTGGAAAAGCGCTCAACAAGTTCAGGTTGGAAGTGTCGTATGAAAGCATTGCAGAGAAGAGTGTATGGTTTGTCTGTCTATTTTTTTGGTTGTGACAATTTATTTTTTTTCCTGCTACTAACTATTGGTGTTGTTTTGGACTTTTTTGTCATAAATATACACATTGCAATATAAATTAACTATAGTATGTGTTACAGAAGCGGTTTGGTTACACGCAATTTTTTGTGTATGGATAGATGTGATTGATTGACTTATTTGTGATGAGTATGGTGTATATTTAATAGTGTTAGTTTACTTGCCGTCCGATCCGAAGCAGGAAAAATCTCCTACTGGTCGGTGGGTTATGATTTTGCGTGTGATGACAAGTCGGAATAGTCTTGATTCCAAAATTCTTGAATTCTTTGACATTTGAATATTTTCCACGCAATCCATTCCCGCGAAAATCAACTCGGGAGTTATTTGTTTTGTCGAGAATCACCGAACAAACATGTCAGAAAATTCTGTGAATTGATGAATATTTGGGATCCGCGATAAAAAATCATTTTCGAACTAACGTTATATCGTTTTTACAAACTGAACGTCATTCTTGAAACAATTAATGCCCTAGACACGGCAAAAAAAAATTCCGGTCACGTGATGTTAGTCAGATCCAACCAATAAGAATGCGCAAAAATTATGCGCAACCAATAGGAATGTAGCAAATTTTTGATCAACCCAACAAAACAAATCTAAATCTAGATAGATCAAAAAATGTCGAGTAGACAATTTTATAACCCTAATACTTGACATCTAATATTAATCGGATATTTTAATCCGGAACTTTTTTTTGCCGTGGTTAGGGTATTATGAAACAATGAATGGAGACTTTGCAAAAATAACGATAACCATGAATTGTTATTAAGAATTAAATCCTCGACCACAAAATCGAAATTTTCCGATTCATGGAAACCTTCAAATATTCCGATCTTGACATAATATTTGCCATTTTTAATTTCCGACATAAATAATTAATTTAGCATTTGGAGGCATTCTTATTAATGAGACGGAGGAATGTTGCTGTATTATTATTATTTGGTTAATGTTGGACGACATCAATACTGAATTATTCAAAACAAATCCCCGCAAATTCTTTCCTAAATCCTCCTGTTCCTACTCTTTAACTTGCTAGGTGTGCTACAAACAAACAAACAATCGCATGGCACCTCGGATACAAATTAAAAATTAAAGTCGCACACATTAAAATTATTGACTCGTGAAACGAAAAAAAGGTTATCTGCATCACGTTACGTGCAGCATGCGATTAGTCGCCTGACACAATTTGCACTTTGACATTTCCATCCGATTTAACTTTATATTCCTCGCAAGGACCCGAACTATACATCAATAAGGTTGTGCCAAATTAGGAAATTGAATCCAGAGATATCAAAAATAAGCAAATTTTGTGTGATGGCAAGCAAACCTTACCAATCCATATATTATTCGGGAGGTCCTCAAGATCGTAATACGTATTTTTAAGTGCATATTCATTTACTTGCACAATACTAGAGTATTGAATGAAAAAGCATAAATTATTGGGATAAATGTTTCGAGATTCCGAAGAAAAAAAAAATCCGCGTGCATATCTCGACATCAAACTCAACACGCATGCAAATATACACAAAAGAAATTAGAAAACTTGTTCAAAGAATTTGGCACCTTCCAAACTTGCTTGATTGGTTACTTTAGCAAAAGATAATTTTGACCAATCACCGCGAGTTATCGGAGCATCAACTCTCGATTAACTTGATCATTGGTACAAAAAATTAGTGTTGGGCGTATACGTACATTGTCGTTATTCTAACAGGTATTTAGAGTTTATTACATCACACTTGTAGTAGAAATTTTCATTCATGTACGTAATTACCCGCCGAATGTAAATTCTTATTTTACGCATTTATGTTAGTTACCATTTTTTCTCTCATGGTTGCACATCAAAGACTTAACAAAGAAAAAGAAACGCACGTAATATTGATACTATATTTGTGTCTACCTTCCAAAGTTTACGCGAATTTTCAATGACAAATGTATTATCGTTTGTTAGTTTATTTTCATTTAATCTCTAATGTTAAAAATTGGATACCGGCCAAATTTATGAATCTCGAGATAATTCCGCCCGACCCGAAAAGATTAGACTAAGAATTGGTTCATGTTTTGAAATAAATAATGGCAGATTCGCAAAAAGTCCGTATATGCCGGAAGAATTTGTTCGGATATTCTTATTTATCCTAATTAAATTCCTGTATTGGCTTATCAAATATACTTCAATTACGCAATTATGGGGGGTTTTTAAAACAATAGCAATAGCAATGTATGAAAACCGTTAAAACATATTTGATCCAAGTTTGGGGAGTCGTTTAATCGTTTAATTCGACCGATATTAATAGCATTCTTAAATAATTCTGGGGGATGACGAACATAATTTGGCCCGGAATTACGGGAGTTTTTTAAATGGTTAAAAGCGAGCCCATAACTGAAGCATATTTGGCAAGTCTACCATTATCACGAAAGACATTGTATTACTTACTTCTGATTGTGCATTACTAATTGTTTGTTCTTGCAGTGTATAATGTAAAAAAAATTACGTAATGCAATGCAGGTACTACGAACAAAAAAAGATGAAGTCTGACGATAACGACAAGTCTTTGTGCACAAAAGTTAGATCAATGTGGTGAAACAACCGCCAATCAGATCGAGATAATGAGGGTTATCGTTATGTAACGTATAACAAAGCATCAATGAATATTAAAAAGGAAACACTTGATAATATCAGAATCTAACAATCGGTTAAGTCTACAGCAGAGTAGACAGCTAGCTCATATCGATATAGTCTACATAGTCTAACGGGAAAAAAGTCATTTCCATTGGAGATTTTTTATTAATCGGTCTTTCTGGTTTTTTAGCGTGGTGATGGTTTGGTCGCGGTCGTGGAGTTAGTGAGAGAGTTTTGTCAGTGGTAAGACCGATATGTCCTGTACACAGCGTACGTAGTGAGCGATATTAAAAAATTGATACGTAACAAAATAATAGAATGACGAATCTCGAATGCATATTATTTCTATTTTGTTATGTGATAAATTTAAATTTCTTAAGCGGCAGGACGTTTCTATCACGACATTTTACCATTACAATAAGACTATTGTGATGACAGCGATTGAAATAAAGCAATATGTTATATATACGTAATACATTTACGTAATTACAAATTCATTTTCTCCAAATATTAGAATTGTTACGTATCGGTATTACAATATTAATATAATTAATTAATATATTACACAAAGAAATAGAAATTTCTTTTATTCTTAATGCCACGCTAAAATTTCATAAATATTTTTAAGAAAAGAATATTCTTGCATTCATCCTCGCACATTACGTATTTATCAAACTTGTATTCCAACTTTTTAACCATTTTGAGCAGATGACACTGTAAAAAAATCGGTATTTTAACCCAGTATTTCAAGTTTCTGTATTCTTGCCGGGCAAAATTACGATTTCTCCGACATAAATTCCCCAGATCCGGCATGGACACAGAGTTTTGTTTGAAATTCCGGACTAGAAATACTGGATAAAAGCTTTGAGGTAGTAAACGAATTTGAAGATACGCCACGTTTATATGTTCGAATTCGCTTTTTTCAAAGTATGCGTAGAGAGTCGATTACGTAATACGTTTTTTATAGTAATCTCGGAGAAATTCAATTTTCCTAACACTTTGATTTCTTCTTGGAAACCGAAACAAACACACATATACATTGCATTATCTTTTTTTTTTGGTTAGATATTTCTTGATCTGCTAGTTTTGGAAACAAGATTTAAAGTGTCGGCGTAGTTCAACTATATAGATCATTATGACCGACTGTGCATAACGATAAGTAACATGTGCAGATAGAATTTATTATACTCCATAAAACTGATGAATAATATATCAAAAAAAATCTGTTTGAACGCATATATCAGTATAATTTTTTTTATTGCCTTATTACATAGTAACAGTAAAATACTCAAATAGAATCAATTGAAATAATGAAATATTAAGATCTTTTCAATTGGAGTTAAGGCTGAAGTTCAACTATGAAGATAATATCTGATTGATGTTTTGTTCAAGTTCAGATATAAATAAAGACATGATTGATTATCATAATGCTCGTTGTGGCTAAAAATGAGTCAGAAGATAGAATCTTATTCAAGATAATCGAAGATAAAATTGGGCATGTTGAGTAGAATGAATAAAAAAATTAAATTTTTATAAAAAGTAATGGTTAAACTAATAAATATATACAGAAAAAAGTTTTGATTATCGTGCTTTAACTCGAAATACAGTTAATATCGATATTTTTAGACTAATAATAATTAAACTATTAAATAAAATAAACAATAATAATTAAGATAAAGTAAAAATAGTTACCTTTTCTTCTAACAAAGAACAGCGTTCGTCTTTTACTATATATCTTCATCCTCGTTAATTTGATGATTAATATAAATATTAAAATATTTATATTTTGAAATATTAAGTACCTATGTCATTCGGAATTGAAATTAATTTGAAGTAAACATTCGACTGCATTTGAGTGGATTTGTTCGTATTCGTTTGCAAATTCATTTTCTTGGTTCCCTGGTTTTCTAGTTTAAACACTAATTTCTTCCGCCCGCATTGTGAAAAGAGTTGTAAACTTACTGACAAAGAAAGTAAAATAGTTCTGGAAGTGTGATTTAAAAAGCTGTAGTACTGAAAATGAAAATGCAAAATATCCGATTATCTTTATTTGGGTCTCATAATCATAAATTTCGTCAGCAGCTGGTCTGTTTTCTGGAATAGATGTCTCCATCGGTACATAAATCTACGTACGTAAATTTCTTGATTAGATTTTTTTATATCTGCTGGGCCGCTAAGTTCTCAATTTTAATAATTATAAATAATAAATGCGACTTGCAGTACAAAAATAGATCATATATTTATTATACACATTACAATAGGTTAATTATATTATATCAAATAAAAAGTATTTATGTATCATGATGAAAAAACGAATTACGGTGAAAATTTTGGCCAAAATTGTGCAGATCATGAGATCATTTGGCCAGAATTATCGATAATTTCTTATAATAAAAGAGCAATATTGATAAATGCATAAAATATATAACTTAAATTAATTATATACTATGTAAATTTATGAGAATTGTTATCCATAGTTTATTATAGATATTGCAAATTTTCACCATAATCCGTTTTTCATCATGATACCCACATTTATTATATATATCACATGATCGTAACATCAATGTCAGTCACATTATCTGTAGCGCAGTATATAATTAGCTATGCGATTTTTCTATTCTAATCCACTGCCTTTATTCATTCCCATCTTTCCGCCTTTTTCGGCAACCAAACGATTCGTCCTAAGATTCTACCAACATCTCCTTCAGAGACAGAGTTCTCAACCCAGTCAAACATTGATTAATGAGATTCCAAAACTTCCTGCTGGATCGCATACAGATAGATCAATGGTGAAATTAATAGCAGCCACGGCCGAAACTCCTCCAATAATGGGTGGATTCCCAACATACATCTAACACAGTGATGTTGATAGGCAGGCAAATTTGGAGCATTGCATCCGGTTGGGGTGCTATCTCTTTTCCGAACCGTCCCAAACTCAACTATCGTGTTTGCGAAAAATGTACTTTGAGTTTTGTGTTTGATCACAAACGATACAACACCTATCTTACCTCCTGCGACCTGGGCACACCTAGTGCTCCAATCGGGTCGGATTGCGGTCAAATCCGACCCGAAATATTTCGTATCAGCCTAAAAATCGTTATTTCTCGTTCAATATTAATTGGAATTAAACGAAAATTTGTGGGTATATACACAACTACATCCCGAACAACTCTACTTAGACACCAAATACAAGTGTCTTAGTAAAAGTTATTAACTAAAAACTATTTTACGATTTTCGGATCAAACCAGATCCGAATCCGATCCGACCCGAAATTATCGGTTCGGGTTGACCTCAAATCCGATCCGATCCGACCCGAACAGAGCTTTAGCCGCACACCCAGCCGCAAAAATCTTGCCTGATATTCAAAAAACTAGACTATTACATATGAAGTCATACAATAACGAAACAAATAGAAAGACTTACGGTCATCAAATGAGCAACTCATTTTCGTTTTCTCCTTCTTGCACTTGCTCTTCTTGTTCTCCTGCAATAGTGGTAGTGACGATATTGGCCAATTTTCTAACGGTAATAGTGATACCTAATCTTTTTCCAGACCACAGTCACTGTTGTCCTCATTGTAAAGTCTTAACACTAGCCTTGACTCTATGAAGCTTAATTCCTAGTACGCATCGTACGTAAGGCTGTTGAAGCAAACCCTGAAATTTAGTTTCCCAGTCGTGGCTGCTCTGGAGCGCACCTATTTCACATACTATGCGTGCATGTGGGTTTCCCTTGATAAACCATATTAATACCAGGAAATCACACCCAAGACAAATATGATAATGCATCGAACCCGAGTATCTTTATATCGCTGGGACTTCAGATATCTAATCAAGTTAATTATCATTATATTGTATTTAACATTCATATAATAGTGTTCCATGTATAATAAACTATACTTAGAGGAATGCCATAAATCATCTGATTTCATTTTATTTATTTGGACCAATAATATATTAGAGATGACCAGTAAGGCTCACCCTCCCTCACACTCCCCTTTGAATAGGATTTTTAAGATCGAGATTACGTTTGGTAAAACAGGTAGCTAAACTATTAATAGACTCGTGGGGGCAAGATGTAGAACAGCAGGTTTGATGTTAAGTGAAGGAAAAAGATCTCGGAACATAGATTGAATTTGGATACACTGCAACATCTGGTGCAATTCTCTTCCTGTTTCCCGATGGTGAATAATGAATTATAGAAAGAATGTTTAAAAGTACAAACTAAGGGTCAAACAGGTTGGTGAAATCCTTTCACGTGGTTTTCCTTCAACTGAAACTTGTAATTAGATGACTGACTTTTAAGGAAAGTGTTGAATTTTTCACCGATACCTTCCGGTTGATTTGAAAAGGCAAACTGCAATCCATACAAATCAATACTAAACCGATCTTGAAATAATCCGTCTGTTCTCTCATTCTGTTCTCTCATTCAGTGACTGTTCTGGCAAATGAGGGAACGTGATTAAAATACTTTCAAGTGCCTTTTTTTACCTACAAAAAAAAATGAATAAGTATTTTCTACACATGTGACTTTGTACTAGTGCTTGGACTCGCACTTGTATAACTCGAGTCAGAATTTTTTGATCAAGTGCTCATGACTGATAATGCTGGCCAGCACTATGGTGATTCCAGCCTACACTATATTTAAAAAACTGTATGAAAAATATTAAAGCGCCTGGGCAAAGTTACAGGTCTGCACTATGAAATTGACTCGAATTCTGACTCAAGTCATAAAAATTCTAACTCGAAATAATTCGAGTCAGAACGAGTTGACTCGAGTCCAAGCTCTACTCTGTACCACAATTACAATTTGTAATGCTGATCCTTCAGAGAAAAAATATAACGATAATATTTTAGAATGCCATAAGAAATGCTTTAGATTATTAAACAATATTCATTGAAAAAAATAATCCAATTTTCAAATAAAAATATCAAGCTAAAACTAAAGCTCTGTTCGGGTCGGGTCGGATTCGGATCGGTTTTGATCCGAAAATCGTAAAATAGTTTTTCGTTAATAACTTTTATTTTTACTAAGACACTTGTATTTTGTGTCTAATTAAAGTTGTTCGGAATGTAATTGTGTATATGCCCACAAATTTTCGTTTAATATTGAACGAAAAATAACGTTTTTTAGGCTGACCCGAATTATTTCGGGTCAGTTTTGATCCCAATCCGACCCGACCCGAAATGTGCGTTCCGGGTCGGGTCACGGATTGGACCCGACCCGGTTGGAGCACTATATAGCTAAAACTTCACATAAGGATTATTGAGAATTGAAAAAAGATAATTTGGTCAGATAAAAGTAAATTCATGGTTTATGATTCAAATAGAAAAAAGTAATATTGGAAAATTCCAAGTCACCATTGTGTATACAGCATGTTAAACTAATTGAGATTTATTATGATGTTGGTAATTTGGTGTTGGAAATATCTAAAAATGAATTTCTTGGAATTGATGGCATGTAATTTATTTATAAGTGATGTTATTTCATTCTATATACATAGCAAAATCTACATATCGATATCAACAATAATGGTCTTAATCCTGTGGAATGAGATTGACCAACACAATTATCTGACCTTAGTCATTGTGTTCACTGTCTGGCAATGTTAGTAATTTCTATTTGACAGCTTGCCAAAAACGATTCGCAGATATTTTCAAAACCAGTGGTGAATATACACAATATATATGTAAAATAATGAAATTTTTAGGTTTTTTGATTTATTAAGCATAAACTTCAAATTCTGTTGAAAATAATGTTTAATAAATATAATTATGTAATATACATGTATATAATTGGTGGCTCATGAAATACGTATTGCGTTTCAAGAAATCTATTTCTAAATTCTACAAGATATGTATACGATCTTTATGTAAAACTGGTACGAATAGAAAACAAGAATGAAATGAAAAGGTACAATAAAGTAATAATTTAAATAGAGAGTAATAACGATAACAATAAGAGAAATAAAATCAATCAAAACACGATCTCAAACCTTTTTAATACAAATACCATACGGACGAATATCAGTGCTAGTCGGAGAAATCCAATACTCGCCATACCCCGTTTTTTCTGCCGAGATTCTGACCAATGTGTCAGGATTGACGCGATTCTGAATCACCACGCGATACTCTTGACCATCATAAGTGAATTTTTCGGCGTATCTCGCTGCGACATTGATATCAGGCGTAGAATATATACCACGGCCAAATGCAAATCGTTTTCCTTTACATAACATGTATCCATCTTCGGCGATTGAGTGACAATTGTCTTTTGCGGTTCCATGGTAAGAAACTGGCCATTCGTTGGTGCCAGATTTTTGGCGAAAATTCTTGGAAGTGGCACCGAGCCAGGCATTGTCAGTCCCGTATTTATTTAAGACTTTAAGTGCTATCCTATTCCAGCCACATGGTCGTTTATATTGGAAATTTCCACGCATGAATACAACATCGGTGGTGTCAAAGACATTTGTAAAGTCGAAATCAAAACGTGAGTCTAATTGATCGGAATTAAGGAAAGAGCAAAAAAGAATTCTAGGGCCACTACCAGGAAGACAAAGAACCAAATACAATGTAGCCTCTTCCTTAATAGCGTAATCGACAAGTGAACGACTGTCTTCAAGTACTATTCCGGAAAAGACGAGACGTTGTTGATCCGGAGAAATTCCTTTTATATCTTGAATTAATCTTTTGACTTTACCAATTGTATACGTTAATTTAGGATAAATGTGAATTGTTTGTCCGGTTAAGGTTTTCACATATATATGATGTTGTCCTGAATTACGATTCCTAGTCGGATGATCTTCAAAGAATGTATCGATCTGCCCACCAACAAGGTGTGACTGGTGCATTGAGTCTACACTAAGTTGTCCTTTGAACAGATACTTCGGATAAGATTCCGACGGTAACCGTCGATTTTGTTTTTTGATGAGATAGTCATCATGTGAGAGAACTGGTTCATTAGTAATAGCTGAAATTGCAGCGGCTAAAAGCGCTACTTTTGATGTCATAATAACTAATTATAAAGATGTGTATGATATGTTGTCCACCAAAAAAAAAACCAGGTTTTGCATCATGAAGAGAACGGTAGGCTTTTTATATACTCCGTAAATAACGTAGAACGTGTAGAACAACACATTAAATGTGTTGTTCTACAAACCCTTTTTTACTCTAAAATCCTTTGTTAATTACGTAGTAACAGACCTGCATTAAACAATGCCGTTGATACACTAATTTGCTAATTAAAAGTGCAAAACAACAAAAGGTTTGTAGAATAACACATTGTTATTGTGGCACACATATTAAACGGATCTCAAAATCCAGCACATTTCCCTCTTTCTTTTCATTCACCAAATTTTCACTCTTCAATTTTGTTCCCACGACTGCCATCAAGTGGAATTACAAATCCTCTTCCATATAGCAATATACAAAATGTATCCTAATTTCTTTTTCGTACTGCCAGTCGTCCGCGATTGAGTATCCAAGGTATTTATTGGTAATGAAGACGGAGTTGATGACGTCTTCCGGTAATTGGGGTTAGACGAACTAGCGTGACGGAAATCGATATGTGATATAGTGGCTTTTATTGTGATTGAGACGAAGGAACAAGTGAGATGTCATGGAAGACGATAAAGAATTGCTATTATAGGGTAAGGATAGGATTTGGGGATTGACATAAAACTTGAAAGATTCATACAAATAAAATAAATATTCATTTCTCGGGTATCGACACTCCAAAGACACATTCTGTAACGATTCCAAATCACTTGCGCTATCGGTTGCTCACTAAACACAGTGACTCACACAAGAAATGGAACACGCGATCAAAACTTTCTAGAATTGTTACATTGTCAATGTCAGTACTCATTTTGAATCACAAGACCTCTAGTATTTTTTAAAATATTTTGACCACAGATTATTTTAGTCAATTTTATAAAACTTGGTAATTTAAATCGAAATTTCAATTGGTAAATTCCTCACATTGAAGAACTTGTTTTTATGACGGATCCAAATTTGGACCACTAATTAAAAATTTTATACTCTACAAAATCCAAAACCCGCCAGTGTACCAATTTTCACAAAAACTGGCTCATAATTTATCGATATTTAAGATCCCGAAGGTTCGAATCTCTGTTAGGGACATTAATTCGACTATTTATTTACTAACAGAGGTTTGAACCTTCGGGATCTTAAGTATCGATAAATTTGAGCCAGTTTTTGTGAAAATTGGTACACTGGCGGGTTTTGGATTTTGTAGAGTATAAAATTTTTAATTAGTGGTCCAAATTCAGACCGTCATAGAAAACAAGTTCTTCAATGTGAGGAATTTACCAATTGAAATTTCGATTTAAATTACCAAGTTTTAAAAAATTGACTAAAATAATCTGTTATCAGAATATTTTAAAGATACTAGAGGTCTTGTGATTCAAAATGAGTACTGACATTGACAATATAACAATTCTAGAAAGTTTTGATCGCGTTTTCCATTTCTTGTGTGAGTCACTGTACATTTATAAGCATTAACCCATATTTCGCACTTACCTAACGAAGCTCTCCTTATCCAGCCTCTAATCATAGCCAAATACGTTGTTCCATAGATGCGAGAAATCTTTCACTTTGTTGCTCGAACGGTTCGGTTCGGTTTTCGAGTAAAACCGATGCAGACTCGAAAATTCGATTCGGTTCTAGAAGCGATTCCAGTTTTTGAGTATTTTCTAACCGAACCGAATCGTAATTTTATGCAATATTAAAAACTAAAAATAGTGCTTGAATTTTTTTAGGTTGTCAAGTGGAATATTAGTAAAAAGAGTCATCTATATGATAGACATTTAAATATAAATCGTGTAAATTGGATAGATACAGTGGGTTATCAAAAAAGTCTGGCCAGAATTATTTTCGCATTTTGTGGTAACTATTTTTTATGTGGTGATTGTATTTGTCAGGAGTACAATACATACTTCTATTCTTACTAAAAAAGGATATTAATTCAGATAGTTTAGTATTTACTAAAAAATCTAAATATAATAATATATAACTATTATAAAATATTATTAGATCTAAGTTATTAGATATGGAGAAGTTTCAAGATGAAATGTTATTATTATTTGATAGTAACATAGGTCAAAGGTTGCAACAGCCGCTCGCGAAGCTTCTGGAATCAAGACGTTAATTTAGCCTCCACAAAGTCCCGATTTGAACTCCATAGAAAATTCATGGCATGAAGTGAAAGACGCTGTTCGTCAACGATCCCCTACACCGTCTATTCTCACAGAACTCGAACAACACGTGAAAGTGGTTTGGAAAGATCTTATACTCGAATACTATCGAATTTTGTTTATTTTAATTTATTATTTGTTTACAATCCTGTTTTTGAGTTGTCAAATTTAATGGTTTGCAAGTGGTTGGATCTTTATGATGACTATGATGAAAAACGGATTATGATGAAAATTTGCAATATCTATTATAATAAACTACAAATAACAAATATACTAATATAGTACATGTATTTAGCAATATAAACATTAATTTAAGTTATACATGTATATTTTATGCATTTATCATTACGTATTTTCAAAATCTTGCCAAAAATTTCACCATAATCCGTTTTTCATCATGACCCCACCCCCACAATACTTAACATGTGATCGTTTAGAATCGGTTCGGTTCGATTCGGTTCCATGACCCAAAATCGAACCGAATCGGTTTTAAAAATCAGTGAATCGAATCGGAATTTCGGTTCGATCCAGAACCTTGGTTCGATTCAATCTAGGCTTCAACTTTTTCAAAGTATTGATCCTTTTTATAGAACATTGATTCAAAAATAAAATATATAAAAATTCACTAATCATCATATTAAGTTCATCGTAAAAAAGTGTTGAGAATATTGAAAAATGAGAATAAAAACATTGCGTCTTCGAGTTATTTCGATAGATTTATTTTCTATCTCTGTAATTATGCTGTTTTATGATATAACGATAACGATAACGATAAATGGCAAATTACACACTAATCCGGAAATGCCTAACTTGAACAAATATTACTGTTATATACAGAAGAAATGTGAATAACCAGTTTATCAATGTAACATTCATTATTCATTGAATCAATGTTCACCACATACTGATACGTAAAATTGTTCAATAAGGGTCATTGTATTATTTAAGTGCAGTCAAAAAACCTTGCTAATTTGAGGGTTACATGACCTGAAATTATTATTTAATGTATATTGGATAATGATTTCTTTATGAATAATATGTTTAATTTTTACTTATATTTGTATTGCTAATTTTTTATAAGAAAGCTGGAACTGATAACAAAATAGATCAAAAAATCTGCATATAACGCATTTACAGGTAGTTATTATGTGATATATCAAAAGAATCAAATATTCTTACAAAAGAACCAGTTCCCGTTTTACAACTACAAAGCAGTATTTTTATAAGATTCAGTTTTTTAACAAATTGTTTGGATAAATTATTTGGAAAGAATATACTATCGCAAAGTAACCAACACTTGGATCTATTTCCAAGCTAAGACATAATATAGTATTTATAATTTTTACCGTTATCGTTATAATTTTACTTTCTTGGATCTCCTGCAGATATATCCTTGAAAATTTCGAAATAACCAGAGTTTAGCGATCGAAAAAACTCACTGGCTATTATGAAGTTATGGAAAATTTGACAAAACTTAAACGCCCAATTATAGAGTATTGTTATTATTTTAATAGTGAGTGGATCAGAATTAATTACATTACAGATTTTGTAATCAGGTGTAAAAAACGAAATCACAAAGTAGTTTATAGTAGAACATGGGGGAATATCTTGAATATGGAGTCTTTGTCAGAACATGAGACACATAATCAGAGTCCTACTCGTGACTTAGTTGTGCGCAAAACTTGAACAATTTATATAGGATAAAGTAATATCGTTATTATTTTTTGCAACAAATTTAATTCGCAGAGCAAATCTCGAAAAAAATTGCTTCATGCAAAGATTTTCGATATACGTATTTTTTAGAAGTCACATCGATGTTTGTTTCTTGAAAATATAATTTGCCGTTTGCCATTTACAGACATAACGAAGAATTAATTAAACCTCGATAACCAGAAACGGTTATAGTAATCAATCTCGATAAACCGAATTTTTACTAATAGCTCAACCACTTCGTTATATGGAGATTTTAGATTATTTAGTTTATTAAGTATAACCGTTTCTGAAACCAACTTCAGGTTTTATTAATATCGAGGTTTGAGTGTACATTCTGTAGGAATACATGACATTTCATATTATCACGGGTTAAAAATAAATGATATTGATGATCTGAATCTTTTAATGAATTTTTTGAGCTGTGTCAGTTTTCTTGTTGAGGCTAGTGTTTTGGGCGAAACTAGCTTCGCCCCATTTGATCTACAAAGTGTCTCCACGGGACTTATAGGGCGAAGCGTTTTGGATTTGAAAAATAGTTTCACCCGAAAACTAGTTTTTTGCAATGCTGATTATTACGGTACTCAATTGTATCTACTCCTAATTGAAGGCTTGACGATTATGATGACCGAACAATATCCAGTAAGTCGACAAGACTTGTAGTTTTATTTTCATTAACAGACTCTGACTCTTATCTGTTACTGTATATTTTCGGAACGTGGACAGCACCCATTGCACTTATCACCGTTTTCTTGCTGACCTGCGAGACGTTATCTTAGAATCTCCGCCATTTACTGAAGATTGGGACGGTCTTGATTGAATATACAAACAAACGGGAGGGCGCCTCTGGATTGTTATTATATGATTTGATATTGTCATATAGAGCGACTTAGAGGTTTTGCTGGAATTCTTCAATATCCCCTCATTGCGATCAGTCAATCCTTTCTTGTATTCGGTTACTTTTTCTTTATAGCAACATCCACATACGCCTATGAGATCACTTTTTGAAGATATCATATGGGAACGCAAAAAGGTTAACATAGTTTATGTATTCTTAAATAAAAGGTGAGTAAACACATATAGTA